TATATTTACCAAAAAAAAAAAAACAATTACACTAAGGGCAACAAATCAACATTAATATTCGTAGGCTTAACCTGGTATGGAGGAGCTGATCCATCGGACATGGGTCTGGTTGAATCTGACAAGGATCTGGAACTGGGCCGGGTTGATTCGGATAGAGCGGGCCAAGAAATTGCCCCACCCATAACAGAAACCCCCTCAACATCGCCATTGATAGGCCTATTCCACGCGGGCCTCCTCGGATGACCCGCATTGCCATCGCCGTTAAAATCGGAGCCCTCGGGCTGCGCTTCAGAGCCCGAACTTCCGTTCACAAATTCATCCGAAGGGGGTGCCAGCTCCGGCGGCTGTAGAGAGACCGCAGACGCCATGGCGGTGGGGAACTGGATTTGATCGAAACGGGGCCCACGGCGAGGGTTGGCTCTGCAGCCCCAAGCGTGGGCAGCCCACGCCGCCGTTCGAGGCGGCGGTTGAAGGATGCGGCTTCACAGAAAAACAACAATAATGTGGTTCGTTAGCAAGTTAACTGAATAAACTCGATGAACGATTAAATCAAGAATTCATAGCGGTGATCGGGAGACAGAAATTCTCTCCTTTTTGCAGTCTGCAGAGTGTCTGTATTTTGTAATTCAGAGTATTTGGGGAAAAAAACGTTGTTCAAAGTCTGAATTTCCTGTGAAATTGTCGGTTTTAGCCCTTTAATACTACGGTTCAAACTCTACCCGAAGCCCTAGTAAGAGATCGATCAGGAATAGGTTTATAAATAGTTTTGGGAATAGGATTGCTATATCTATATCTATATATATATATATATATATATAATAAGAATTAACATTTACTATAAATAATAGTAAGAAAAAGTCAACCCACATTTATTATATACTATTTTCAGCAAATTTTTTATTTTACATTTTAATTTTAATTTATTATCAAAAAATTGGATGGTTCCTATATTAATGGGTTTTAAATGCACGTTATCATGTTTCAAAAATAATAAATCATTTAAAATCGAATGGTTCCTAAATTAATGGTTACAAACTTTTCAAAGTACGTATCATGTTTCAAAAATTATAAATCATTTAAAATCGGATGGTTCCTAAATTAATGGTTACAAACTTTTCAAAGTTGTAATCTTTATGACATCTTTTCTTTTTGACTTTTAATAATAAAATTATTTTAAATATATATATTCTAATCCAAAAATTCAATCATGTTAAAAAAAAAAATATATATATATATAGTTTATTTTTTAAATTGCATACCCAATCAATTAATCTTGATTTTTTTTTTAAATTACTATGTTTATTTTTTATTAATATGCATAAAATAAAAATAAATAATTCATCTTTAGATATATAATTTATAATCTTAATATACTATCATTTGGTGTAGACATATGAATCATAAAATTTTTTAATTTCATAAAATTAAATATTATATTTAAAGAAAATAAGGAAAATACTTTGGATCAATCGGGTGATTGAATTAAGGTACTGCCCATGTTGATTGAATTACTTTTAAGTGATATTTCAAATAGTAAAAAAACTTGACACAACTTGGTTGGTCCCAGGTAACTAAGTTATGTATCAGTTTGACCAGACTAAATCGATTATTGAACCTAAATATAAATTTTAATATTAAAAATACTTTATTACGTGAATGTGATGTAGTCCAAACCTCAAATAATCATACATCATTAATGAATATTTATATATAATTTTATTATTATTTATGTGAACAAAATAATTATTTTATTATAATTTATATTAATGTACAGTAAATATAAGGTTTTCAGAACCGGACCGTCATCGAAACGATCAAGTTATTTTATTAAATCATTTGTGGTTGTTCATATTTTAATACATTATACTTTAGTGTATATATATATAGTACTTTTTGTAGTAAATTTAAATAAAAATTATTACTTAAATATCTAAACAATTTATAAATTCAAATGTTTAAACTAATTGATAAACAATTTATAAATCTCTATTTTATTTAAATATGTAATTTTATTTAAAATAATTTTTAATGTAACAAAATTTGTTTAGAAAATCCTATCGATCCTATCAGTCCAACAGACTGGTGTTGACGGATTCGACAGCAAATATTTTATTCAAGCGCACTAGACTGGTTATAAACCGGTTCTCGGTCCATCCGGTCGAACTGTGTCCAACCCAATTTAGTTTAAAAATAATAGGTAAATCATGATTAATGTTGTTTATTTATTTAATTTATAATACAATTAAAATATTGTTTTCCCGTGCATCGCACGGGGCATGCACTAGTAATAAGAATTACCATTTAACAAAAATAATAGCAAAAAATAGGAGAGAATTTAATGCAACCTATAAATAGTAAGTCTTTTTTATTTTATATTTTTATCTTTAAAAAACCATACTAACATTAAATGTTGCATTAATTTTGGGTTTAATTCATTTTATTATTTAAAAATTTCAGCTAAGATCTATTAAGTGTGCATTTTTTATTTTTATTTTTTTTTCATAGAAACACCGAGTAACATTAAAATCTAAGTCTCTATATTTATAAAATCTCAATTCAAAAAGTAATAAAATTTTAGAATATTGGTCTTTATATTTATGCCTTTCAAAAAAAATATATTGAATACTATTCTTTACATATCATTTTCCACTAATCATCACATTTTTTTTATTTGGAACGTGTGATAATAAACTTGGTAATGTTTATTATTTTTTTTATCAATCTATTATTTTTTTATACTCGGTTTCAAAATATAAAATAATTTTCAAATTCTCAGTCTCAATAATTGTGCATTTAAAAAAATATATTTAATGATAATATATTATTTGTTAATAGTACACAATTTTGAAAACTCCATTATAAATTGTATGTTGATATCCAAATCATTTTATAAATGCAATCGACTTTGTTAAATATCCACGAAAATATGGTAAACAAAATTAGACGATCAACTTTGTTGGAAATAAAATAGAATCAATAAATCAACGTGAAGTTCAGAGGAAATTAACATAATGAATAATTTGTATAGTACGCGGATCTAAAAATTAATACTCATGTGGATTCTAAAATTCAAACTTATACTTATCATCATCTTTTGGAAATTGAATAATATATTGTAGGCAATATTTTTTTAAATAATTTTAACATGTTTTATTTATAAAATAGTTTAGAAAAATTTTAGGTGACTTCACATCTTTCAATAAGGATATATAAAATTTTAGATACTTTACATACGTTATATAATATTTTAGGTGTTTTTAATATTTTAAACATACATTTTTTATGTTATTTTATACAAGATAATTTTATATTGTTTACATCTGATATACGATAAATTATGTCACATATGAACTCCACATTTTAATTACAATTATTAATTAATATTATTTACCCTCATATTTAATCTATCATTATATTAAAAGATTAATCATTTAACACTTTTAGTAAGTTTTTCCCGCCAAATACATTTAATGTCTCTTAAAAATAGAGCAGCATCAAATGTTGCTCTTAAATAATGGCAGTTGTTAATTTAGTTTGGAGAAAATCGTGGCAACTAAAACAAACAACATTAATTACGGCTGATTTAATATTTAAATGGTAAACAAATATAACTTTTTTATGACTGATTTAAATTTACGTCTGTTTAAAAGTAAAAAACTACTTTTGTAATTTCAACAAATTTGTACTCTTTAATGTACGGCTGATTTAAAATTAAGAATTTACTTTTGTATTTTCACAAAAAATCGTATAAAGAAGTATGGCTGGAATAATAATAAAAAATTAATTTGTTAAACCATATTTTGCACTCATAGATACGAATTCTCATCAAATTCAAGATTTAAAATTGTGAAGAATGTATATAGATGTGGACTGATTGAAGATATATGATTCCTTAAATTAAGGAATTTTTTTCGGTAAAAAAAAATATAAACTTTAAATATAGATTTTATTAGTAGTGTATACCAAAGAATATTGTTACATTTAAAATTCCTATGAAGAATAATTCTATTAATTTTCAAATTCAACATCTCATAAAAATAATATAATACACTTTTACATTCTATGAAACAATATTTAAAACCCACCGTTCAACATGCATAAAATGTAAAATTACCTAACATGAATCATTTTAACTTTCTAAAATCAGTACACAATTTACTCGGTATGTACTAATAGTCTAATAGTTAAGAGTTAATATTTGCTATGACATCTATTGGTTGGAATGAATTCCATTTTGTATGGAATTCGAAATGAAAAAACATATTCTGAAAATCAAATCTGATTTAGAGATCGATTTCTTAGTGGCCTTAAATTATGCAAATATATTGTTTCAGTTTTTAGGATTCTTTTTTATGATCTCAGTCTTTGCATTTTATGAAATCTATACTTATATAAAAAGTCATCCTATTTACTAGAAATAGTAGGCAGAAAAGTCGAAGGTAATTAATGTTTGCTGGAAATAGAATAATATTAATTACAGATTTGTTTTGGTGTTTATAGACTTGACATTAAAGATTTGTTATGTGATAAAAATCAGAACCGATTTTTTTATCTTTGCTGGAAAAGTCAAAGGTAAGTATAGATTTGTTTTATGCCATAGCATCGATTTAGTTAAGAAAATCCCATCAAATCAGTTTTATATGTCAAGCCTATGAATAAAGATTTAATCGGTCAAAATTAAATCCTTATTTTACGTCACCCATAATAAAGTAGATGTCGAACCTAAATTAAAAGGTTTAGTTGTCTATATAGTCATTGATTTACGTAAATACATCTAATGTTTAAAGTTTGTGTAGATTAAAAATTCCTTCTTATCTTTTTACAAAAAATCTTATTATTATTGTTTGGAAAATCAAACTAATAATGTTGTGTACAAGGTGGTCTTTAATAATATATGATTGTTTGTTTGTCGAATACTATCTCATTGTATAATTTTCCTGCATATTATAAAACTTTTATTGAATATTGCATCTTATAATTTAGTATTCCTCAAATAAATATATCCCGTGCCTCGCACGGGTCACGTACTATATATATCCCGTACATTTCTCTGTATTCATGTATATAATTATAAGTCTGGATACATAGCTTTAAAATTGTGCACCCGTGCATCGCACGGGCTCTGTACTAGTTTATAATTATGAGTTAATATTGTTTACTATCATCTTTAATTTATAATTAGTATTTAACATTATTTACCCGTGCATCGCACGGGCTACACACTAGTGTGATTTGATATAGTATATGACAATTGTAGTATAAAACAATGACATATNAAAAACCGTTACAACTCAATATTATTATTATTATTATTACATTAATCCATCTTATCTCATTAATGATAAAATATTTCATTACACTTTTTTAGGTTAATTAAGATAAAAATAGTTAAATTTTATATTAATTAAATAATAATTATAATTTTATTGTATCAGATAATAGTTATTATTAAAATTAATAATTATATTTTACATTAAATGAAATAGAAAGTTAAATAAACATAAAAAATTATATTTTAAAAACTTTTGTTTAAGTTATTTATTCTAAAATTAATATTTTATCTGATTAAGCGATTATTTTTTAAATAAATTAATTTGTTTTAATATCACAGTAAAATTCTTTAAAATCACATAAGCAATTGTTATAATACATTTAATATTTTTCAGCTAATTAATTAGTCATGATCCCTCAAAATTACAAAAACTACATTATTTATTACATTTTGTGCAATCAATAT